TTCTGAAGATCATACAAGGACATTAAAACAAGAAAGATCTGTTGGCTTAAAACATTTTTCATCTTTTAAAAACCACTACACTCAGCATGGTAGGACTTTGGTTTCTTTCAAGTATTGGTCTGCCTGGCTCTTTTCCCTGATTATTTGGCACTTAAGATAGCCCAATTAATATAGTTAAAATTTTGTTTTTATTGGAACCTAACATTGCCTTGAATTTCTTTTTTTGAGCATTATTGAAAGTGACAGGAAGAAATAACATTAGAGATAATTTAGTCTGATATACTTATTTACAAATAAGAACTGAGACCCATAGATAATTATTGGTGAAGGGAAGAGTGATTTTAATAGGGAACTTAGGAACAGGTCCTAGGTTTTTAAATTTTGAGTTGATGTTTTCTATAGCATACCACAATGTGATTCAGTTTTTTGTTTGCTCTTATTTCAATATGTCATCAGATTTTAATCAATCAAAGTTCAATTTTATGACTATCCTCTACTTTTAGTTCTTGATTAATTTAATTTTGAAATAGATGATACATTTATTGTTCAAAAATCTAAACACATGAAAGTGTTCATAAAATATATATGGTCAAAATGAGATTAGATATTATTCTCAGATCATCTCATGATATTTTATTTTTCAGGAAATTTCTCAGTAGAGACAAGTAGTTTGAAGCAAATGTTTCTCTCACTGTTTTTCTTTGTGTTCTTCCTATTTAAAAAATTTAAATTAAACATAGACACAGACAACAACATGGTGATTACCAGAGGGAAAGGGGGGTTGAAGAGATAGAAGAGGGTATAGAGGGGGTAAATGGTGATGGAAGGAGACTTGATTTATGGTGGTGAACACACAATACAATATACAGATGATGTATTACAGAATTGTACACCTGAAACTTATATAATTTTATTAACCAGTGTCACCCCAATAAATTCAAAATTTTAAATTAAAAAAAATAATTGTTACCCATAATCTCATCTCCCAGGATTACTGTTTTTATTTTTTCCATATTAACATTTGCATGTATATTTATTCATATGGTACAAACTATTTTGCTATCTTTGCTCAATATTACATCATGAAGTACATATTTCAATAAAGTATTTCAAAAGGAGATAGGATAACTTGTTTTACAAGGCCAGCATAATCCAGTGCTAAAGCCTAACAGTGATATTATACAAAAAGAAAGCAGAAAAATCTTTTTTTTTTAAATTAGCAAATTGCCCTGGCGGGGTAGCTCAGTTGGTTAGAGCATTGTCCCAATATGCCAAGGTTGTGGGTTCAGTCCCCGGTCAGTGCACATACAAGATTCAACCAATGAATGCATAAATAAGTGGAACAACAAATTGATGTTTCTCTTCCTCTCCTTCTCTTTCTCTCTCCCTCCCTCTCTCTAAATCAATACAATTTTTTTAAATTAGTGAATTGCATCTAGCAGTATATGAAAAGGATAGTAACATCATAACCAAGTGGGGCTTATCTCAGGAATGCAATATTGTTAACACTTGAAAATCAATCAATATAATATGCCACATTGACAAAATAACAGAAAAATTGTATGATGTTTCAGTAAATGTAGAAAAAGCATTTGACCAAATTCAACATTCATTCATTAAAAAAACTCTCAGCAAAGCAAGAATAGAAGGAAACATCTACTAGATGTAGATGTGATTAACGTTAAGTGCCTTTGATGTGGAAACTGTCCTTTATTTTACTACTGGGCACAGTCTAATCACATGAGTCCTTAAAGGTAGGAGAGGAAACCAAAAGGGTGAGTCAGAGAGATGCAATATGTGAGGAGTCATTCAAAGTCATTATTGGCTTTGAAGACAGAGGAAGGAATCCATGAGTAAAAGAATGAATCTACCTCTAGAAGCTGGGAAGAACCCTCAGCTTATAGCCAGCAAGAAAATGGGGACTTGAGTTTTACAGCCTGGAGGGGCTAAATCCTGTGGGACAACCCAAACCTGCAGGAAATGGACTCTTCCCTAGAGCCTCCAGAATGGAAAGCAGCTTGCTGATACCTTGATTTTAACCCCTTGAAACCTATACTGCAACTTCAGAACTGGATGATAACAAATTTGTGCTGTTTTAAGCTACTAAGTTTGTGATGATTTGCAAATGGCAACAATATAAAAACTAATGAAACATATCCAATTTCTCAAAACAGATAACTTGAGCAAATTAAATTTGTTAAATATAGAATTGTAGATGGTTCTTTCATTCCATTTAATATTTGTTAAGTACCCGCTATTATATGTTAAGTTCTACTAGGTACTTTCCCATAAGTAGCCATTTTACTGTGTTTAATGCATATATTTTTATATCTGTAGGTTCAAGTACAAAATGTTATTCTTATGTGTACATATATTTTTAATGTACATAAATAGAATTGTGTTCCAGAACTCATTCATTTTTTTAGTTTTTTTCTCGGTTACCTCTGATGCTAAATGAACAATTAGTGTGTTGCTCTTAAAACTGCTCCACTGTAGGCATCTACCACCTTTACTTAACCAGTTCTGCAGTGATAGACACCTGGACTGCCTCTGACTTTGCACCACCACCAATAAGGAATGTCTTTATATTATTTATCTATTACTGCATAATAAATCCCTCTAAAACTTTAACTTAGCTGTTAAAGCAACATTGTTTCACAGTTTTTTAGAATCAGGAATCTGGGTACAGTGTAGCTTGGTACCTCTGACTTAAGTGTCTCATGATGTTGTAGTTGAGCTTATTGCTGGACCTGTGGTGTCATCTGAAACCTCAACTACAGAGGACCGGCTTCCTAGATTTTTCACTTGGCTGTTGGCAGGATTTAATTCCTCAAGGGTTGTTGAACTGAGGACCTCAGTTCCTCACTGACTATTGACTGTAGGCCTACCGCAGTCCTTTGCCAGGTGGACTTCTCCATATGTCAGCTCACAAGGCAGCTGGCTTCCCTCAGAAAAAGCAAACAAAAGAGCAAGAGCATAACTAACACAAGCCATCATCTTTTTGTAAACTAAAATCTCAGAAGTGGCACCTTATCATTTCTATTGTATTCTCTTTATTAGGAGCAAGTCACTAGATCCAGCCTACACTCAAGGGGAGGAAACTACACAAGGGCATGAATATCAGGAAGCAGGGATTATCAGGGTCATTTGGCAGGTGTCTTCCACAGTCCTCAGACATATTTCTGCGACATTGTCTTTGGTGTATATACATATGGGTCATAGGTTGTTTTCTGAAATGACTTGGCTGGTTAATACTCTCATCAGCAGTACATGAGGGTTTATATATCCTCATATGCCTGCCACTGCTTTACATTTTCTAAGGCATAAAAGGAATATCATTATTTTAAAATGACTTTATATCTTTCACTCTTTTTATCTAGTGGCGTTTTTCCCTTTTTCTTGCCATTTGCAGGGTTTGCTTGTAACATTCTAGATAGCAGTTTTTTGTTCTTCCTTCCTGTCTATCATCTGCCTGTTAACTTTGTCCAAAGTTTCATTTGTTGAGCAATAATTTTTAACTTTGATATAATTAAATGCCTTTGTGTTTTGGCTTTATGGTTTGTGCTCTTGGGCTTTTATTTAAGAAGTCTCTTCTTGTGCTGATGTTACAAACGTATTATTATACATTTTCTTCTATTAATTTTAGTTTTGTGATTCATATCCAAATCTTTAATTCATCTTTAGTACGTCTTTGATATGTACTAGATAGGGATCCATCATTATTTTCTTTATGAAATGAGCCAGTTTTTCCTACCACCATCTTCTGTATAATTTGGTTTTTTCTCCATTGTTTTCTGGATCCATCTTTATTATATTGTTTCCATATATACATAGGTTTGAATTGAACATTCAATTCTCAATTGGGTTTCATTGGTTTATTATTTTTTTTGTACTGTTTTTTATTACTACAGCTGTATTGCATGGCATTAAATCAATTGAATGAGCCTGTTCTGTTTTGCATACTTTGTATTGAAAAGATATTTCTGTCAGCACCAATTCCTTAAAATATCTGGTAGAATTTAAGCTTGCCTGGTTCTAGAATCAAATCATCTTTAATTTGTTTAATGAGCCTCATTTAAGTAGATAGTATTTTTTCTTTCTTTGTCTTTCCATGAATATTTCAGTTCTATAAAAATATTTTGATATTCTTTTGGAGTTATTACCCTTTTTGCTGTGTTGTTGAGATTCCCGCTTTCCTGGTCTAACATGTTATTGTTCTCCATGAAAATCTTGTTTCAATTTTCACAATGACTGAAGATTTCTTGATGCATATATTCCTGTTTGTGCTCCTTTTTCAACCCCCAATTTTTTAAAATTTGATTTAAGATTTATTTCTATACTTGATCTTAGCCAGAAGGCCGAGACATGATAAGATTTGTTTCTTAAAGGGGATAATAATCTTGAGAGGACAAGAGTAGTCCTTCATAAAATAATTATGCATAATAAAACAGGGGTAATTTGTTTACTGTTCATACTTGGTTGAATATGCAGAGTTGGCCTTGAGAATGTGAACACTAGAGGTAGAAGGTCTAAGATGTGCTATTGTTCTCACTGTTAATTGACTGTCAACTTGAAAAGGCATTACTTTCTTTCCTACACTGTGATTTCTCTTCAGTTTTGCAATCTGAATACTTGTTTCTGTATTATAACTAAACAGGAATTAACATAAGGGCTTTAGAGTGGATCATTAAAACAGAGTACTGCTGGTAATTGTTTCCATTGTACACTAATAAATAGACTTGTCGTTCAACAGGAGATGGGAATGGGAAAATAGGAAAGTAATGGGATACCTGACCCAAGCACAAGAGCTAATGACTTGGGAAGGTTTTATATTTTTTCTTTACTTAATTTTCATGTTAAAAATATTAGTATTTTCTATAATCTTAGAAACAAGTTGAATATTTAGATTTGAGTTTTAAAATGTGTAGTTTATTCAGAAAAGAGCATTATCTTACTGTTCCAAACTGATTGTTATTCTGTTTTGTTTCCTATTTCTCCAGAGCTATTACTTATGAAATATCAGTAGAAGCTATATCAACAATGGTTGTTTTCCTTTCCTGCCAACTCTTCCACAAGGAAATTTTGCGACAAAGCATCAGTCACAAGTATTTGATGAAAGGTCGATGGTATGTTTTTATTTTAAATTTATCTAGGTTTTTAGCAAAATAGTTATGGGGATGTAAAGTACGATATAGGGGATATAGTTAATAACACTGTAATAACTATGTATGGTGCCAGGTGGGTACTGGAAATATTGGGGGGGCAACTTTGTAAATTATATGATTGTCTAACCGCTATGCTATCCACTTGAAAATAATATAAAATAAAATTGAGTGTCAACTGTAATTGAAAATTTAAAAAATAAACAGAAAAAAGATTTGTCTAGTTTATTTTTATTTTTTATTTTTTTTAATCTTCATCTGAGTATATTTTTGCATTTATCTTTAGATAGAGTGGGAGGGAGGGAGAGAGAGAGAAACATCGACGTGAGAGGGTCACATTGTCTGGCTGCCTCTTGCAGGACCCTGACCAGGGCTGGGGACTGAACCGCAACCGAGGTCCTTGCCCTTGACCGGAATCGAACCTGTGACTCTTTGGTCTGCGGGCCAACGCTCCAACTGCTGGGCCAAACAGGCCAGGGCTAGTTTTTTTATTATATAAATTTATATTTTTGGTCTTCTCTTAGTATTTTTTAAATTTTTGATTGAATTTTGAGAGAGAGGGAGAAATATCAACTTGTTGTTCTACTTGTTTATCCATTCATTGGTGAATTCTTGTATGTGCCCTGACCAGGGATTGAACCCACAATCTTGGCCTACTAGAATGACATTCTAACTAACTGACCTACCTGGTCAGGGTCTCTTACTTTAGTATTGTTCCATATCTCCAAGCAGATATTCCTTTGGTTGTTCTGTTAGCACGTCAAACACAATGCAAGGAACCAAATTCTGTTTTTTTTGTGTAAACTGTCCATCCTTCCCGTTCCCTGTATCCCCCAGCTTCATTACCTTCTGTAGTGATTTCTTTGTAGTACTGAAACTTTAAAGTCATCTTTCTTCTTTCTTTATCATTCTCTATGTCTAAGGAGTCATCCAGTAATATTTTTTCATTGACATTATTTTCATATCTTCTCCTTTTCACCAGTCCCATGTAACCTACTGTAATCTGTGCCCCATTACCATGTGTTTGGGTTACTTCAACAGCCTCTTAACTGACTGTTTCTACTTTCGATTAGTCAATAAATATTGGGTACTATCCATGTGCCAGGCATGTTAGGATGTGGGGCTATACTCTGAGCAGAAAAGCTTACATCTTTTTTATTGGGTGAGAGTAGGAATAGATCAATACACATACACATGCACACACACCTTTTATTGACATTCTTCACAGAATTTTTGAATGTAAGACAAAGACAAAGTAGCTTTGATTCAAATTCTCAGGGACTTTATCTCATCCTTTTTAATGCCTTCATTTTTTTCATGACACCTTCACTGATAATAGGGAAAAGGCCTGAGCTTTGGCCCAAGAGTCTATTAAGAAGTTTTTTCTAGCCCTAGCCAGTTTGGCTCAGCAGTTAGAGCAACAGCCCATGGACCAAAGGGTCTCAGGGTTGATTCCCAGTCAAGGGGATGCACCTGGGTTGCAGGTTCAATCTCCGGCCCCAGTCAGGGTCTTGTGGGAGGCAACCAATCATTGTGTCTCTCTCACATCGATTCCCCCCCCTTCTACTGTATCTAAAAATCAATGGAAAAATATCCTTGGGTGAGAATTAACAACAACAAAACAATAAAAAAAAAAGTTTTCTCTAGATTGCAGGAACTGATATATCACCAATTTGTGGATACACATTCCTTTTCACCTGTTTTCTCTCCCTTTTCCTCATCCCATTACTTAAAAGCAAAGAGTATTAACATTTTAAAAATCTCTATACATACAGATATATTTGTTGTATGCATGCACAAATTGAATAACTTCATATTTTAAAAGTGTAGTCTTTTATATTACAGCTTAAAAAAAATTTTTTTTTAATTCTCACCCAAGGATATTTTTCCATTTATCTTCAGATAGAATGGGAGAGAGGGAAGGAGGGGCGGGGGGGAGGGAGACAGACATCGATGTGAGAAAGACACATCAATTGGCTACCTCCTGCAAGACCCCAACCAGGGCCCAAGCCGGGGACCAAACTGCAACTTAGGTATGTGCCCCTAACTGAAATTGAACCTGTGACTCTTTGGTCCATGGGCCAAAGCTCCAACTGCTGAGCCCAACTGGCCAGGGCTATATTACTGCTTTTTAATTCTTGCTTTCCCTACTAATTTTACATTACTACCTCCCTTTAAGTGCCAGGTACTATATTGTACACTGAATTTATAATATCTCACCTGTTATACAGATTATAAATAAGGTAAGTTCAAGAGCTGAAGTGATTTGACCAATAACTTATAGCATAGTAAGGAGAAAAGCCAGAATTAAGCCTCAAGTCTTATCTCAACCCCATAGTCTTCACTATTATACGACAATGCTAGACTTCTTTGAATTATGCTAATCATTCTGTATTAATAGATTATATATAGATGATCATTATGTAGAATCAGATGACTCCCATAAGTATGAGTTTGATTTTCTTCTTTTTTCTTTCTGTATAGTCTTCCATACACCAGCAAACTCGTGAAAACCTTATTGTATAACTTTATCAGACAAGAAAAGCCTCCTCCTCCAGGAGCACATGTGTTCCCTCAGCAGTCGGATGGGGGAGGACTGCTGTATGGACTTGCATCAGGAGTAGCAAGTAAGCCCTCTCCGATTTTTTTCAGTCCTTTGATGTACATCATTTTTTAATTTAATTAGTCATAACTAATTCTGTTCCCTTGGCTGCCACTACTAACAGTATATTGGATCCGGGCAGTTGTCTAAATATGACATACTGAAGTAATTTAAAATATTAATTTTTGCATTCAGTGCAGTGATTTATGCATTGAAATATATGCAAATAATGAATAGCTTGTTTACCTAATAGGCACCATTTTTCAAGAAGAATGTTTATAAATAAATGCATATTACATGAATTCTAGCTATGCAATATAAATACAATTAAACTCTTGGGAACTTTTTACTGCTTATGTTTTCTAAGGAAGTCATTCTGTTTTAGGGACTTTACTGGTTAGGATTTTATGTGACTAATTGGGTATAGTTTTCTTATTATATTCAGTATTTCATTTGTTAATGACCAGTTAGTATATTTTGAAGAGTTTTGTTATAAATTCAAAAGCTGTACAGTGGTGAGTTTTATCAGATTAGAAGCAAATTTTGTTAACTGAACAAAGTCCTTTCCCACCATACAGTAAAGTAAAGCCTCATTTCTACTTCACAGCGATCAGACCTAGAGGTTCTAGAAGTACAGAATACCTCTGGTCCTCCCCTTTGTTGGTGTAGAGGACCTCCTGCATCATGAGAGGTTATATAAACCCAGCTTTTGCTTTATTCGGAAGGTAAAACAAAAAGTAGACTTGACACTTTAGTAGTCGTAAGGTTTGCATGGGTGCTCTTACTGTATATTCTACTTAATTACATAGTGCAAGGTTTGGCTGTTTGAAGGAATTTTAAATGGAACTGAGTTCCACAACTGAATTATACCTGTAGCATCCTCCCCACACTCAGAGAAGAGCATCAGTTTGATATGAAAATGTAGTACTCTGTGGAAAATTATTAGATAATGATTTTTTTTTGTTAAAAAAGAGGGAACCTCTTTGTATTAAAAGACCTCTTTGTTGACTTTAGGAATTGATTTGCAAATCAGGCTTTCTAGATTTGCCTTCGTTTGATTCTAATTGTGAGTTGAATTACATTTGTGATCACTCACAGCTTTGTCCTTGCTGACCGGGCTGCCTGGAATACCAGACCTGCAGAGCTGTTCTCCAGGTTACTCCCCCCACTGCCCTCCTTGTTTCAGGTGAGGAGGCTGTACACAGCTTGCTCACTCATGGCCATGAAGGCAGCATAGGAATGGCTTCTTGTGTCCTGTGGGAAGGCTTCATTAATCCAGTAGTATTTGCTTTTTTAAAAAATCCTCACCTGAGGATATTTTTCCATTTATCTTCAGATAGAGTGGGAGGGAAGGAGGGAAGAAGGGAGAGAGAAACATCGATGTGAGAGAGACACATTGATTGGCTGCCTCCCACAACTCTGACCAGGGCCGGGGATCAAACCACAGTGGAGGTACCTGCCTTGACCGAAATCGAACTCAAGACACTCTGGTCTGCCAGCCAACATTCTAACTACTGAATCAAACTGGCCAGGGCAATATTTACTTTATTTTTATTATTACACTGGTATAGGTATTTAACAGCTGAGTATTTTTTCAATAGTCCAATATGGTTGGAGATTTTGGGGAGGAGATAGTAAAAGATCATTAACTGCTTTCTTCAAAACAATGGCAAAACTTTGCAATTTGTTTGCAAGCAAACATTGATTTGAGGTTTTGTTTTGTTTTTGTTTTTATTCTCACCTGAGGACATTTTTCCATTCTTGTTCAGATAGAGTGGGAGGGAGAGAGAAAAAAACATCACATGAAAGGGACACATCAAGTGGCTGCCTCCCACACAACCCCAGCTGGGGCCGGGGACAAACTGCAACCTAGGTACGTGACCTTAGTGGGAACTGAACCCAGGTCTCTCTGAACCGCGGCTGTACCTGCTGAGCCAAACCGGCCAGGGCAATTTGTGTGTGGTTTTAGTTTTTCTTGAAGTTATGTGTCATCAGAATGAAGTCCAGGATGGCATATGGTGTCATCAGCACCAGGTGCCAAAAAACTTGACTTCTGAATTTGAGATCTACTTCCACCTAGTTAGCAGTGTGTTGGAAAGAAGTCCCTTGATTTTTCTACCTCCCGGTTCCTTTTGAATGAGAAGGTTGGGACAGATGATCTCTGAGAATATTTCCATATAACTTTCAGTGATACTATGTATTTCCCCCCCACCATTTTAAAATTTAATATTTAGTTAAGGGCATTAAAATAGTTAGGATTTTTAGTGTTCTATAGTCACAGCACATTTTACATAGCTTTCTTTCTAAATTGTTACAAAACTATTCATGCAAAAGTATAAATCATGATGGAGTAATTGTCATTATTTTACAGTATGCGACTCAGAGGATTATAAAAACAACAAACGGACATTCTCCTAAGAAGCAAAGCTATGTATTGTGGGCAAAATAAACTGTAAAATTGACCACAATATACCATTTTGAATTAAGCCACATTCTAGGAAAGTCAGTCAAACTGACAAAGCAATTTGAGTTTAGTTTTGTGTGATCCCTTTTGATGATCTTTTGGTTGGTAGTTATGGAATTTTCTTACTTTAATATTGGCTTGAGGGGCTTGAGGGAATATGATTTGGAAGTTCCTCACTGAAAAGAAATTATGTTGCAAGGCTAGATACAAATTATGAACTCTTTTGGATTATGTTCATTTTCCTTGGGATTGAATTTTTCATGGATATAGAAAGCATTTCCTTTCATAGCAGTGTGTGTATTGTATGTTTTGCTGAAATTATTTCCTTTGAAACAGCATGCCTTATTTTGGAAAACTTTATGGTTTTTGATAGTGAAGTTTTGTTGGCTCCAGCAGGGGAAGCTGAGAATCCTGATGCTAGAACTGGGTCCAGATGGGTAGTGAGCCACATGTCTGAGCCCTCACAGGAGTTAGGCAAGGCCTTTTCCAGTTTAGTCTCGTTTTTACAGATTTTTTTCTGGTTATTCTATTATTTGTTTCCTAGATGCCTGCCAAAACTTTGTTACATCTTGCATGCCTGACACTCTTTTTCATGCCTTTGCTTGGGTTATTTCTTTAACCTGGAGTCCTACTTCCTCCTCTCTATCGCTTTGATTTTCTGCCCGTCCATACATAAAGTTTTATCCCAAGTACCACCTTCACCATGAAGACTTTCTTTTCTCCCTCCTAACAGGTTGTGATCTTTTTCTATGGCTCTTACTCTGCTTTGTGTTATTACTGTGTAGAAGCATCATCTCCCTACATTGGCTCTACATACAATACAATAAGAGCTAACATATTTATAACCTTTCTGAGTTTACAGAGCAACTTTTTGTGCATCTCACTTTATTCTCATAGCTACCTTGTGAAATAGATGGTTTTACTTTTTAATGTGATAGATGTAGAGATGTTCCTAGTTATTAAATTACAGTGTCTAAAATCACACAGGAAAGAGGTGATGCTGGTTTGCACTTGAGCTTAGTTTCTTTGACTCCTGAGCTTTGCTGTTTTGTCTTTCATTGTCACCACCTGACTCTTAAATTTGTAAGTTGCTGCTTGACTTCTGTGACGTTGTTCACTGTAGTATCCAGCAGAGCACCTTATATCTGTGGACTCTCAATTAATACTTGTTGTATGTAAGTAAATACCAAAAACTAATACTTGTCTGCACTCAAGGTAGATGTGAACTCAATTATAGCAACATGCCTGTAATTTATTGAATGCCTTTTGTTTGCCAGACACCTTAGTAGCTACCTTCCATACATGATTTTATCTGCTCTTTATTTTTCTTTTCTAACATTTTATTATGGAAAATTTCAAAGATGTACAAAAGTAGAGCAAATGGTACAGTGAACTCCTATCTACCCACAACCTATCTTCAAGAATTATCAACATTTTACTAATTATTTTCCCACTTATCTCCCTCCTCCTCTTTTTAAAAAACTTTATTTGGAAATAAAAGTCACACATATAGAAAGGTTCCAAAAATAAAAATATTAGGAAAAAATATATATTGCTTTATCCAGATTGATTTTTTAATATTTTATCTCATTTGTTTTATATTTGTATTCTCTCCTTCCCTCTCTTTATCATTGTATGTATGCGCATGCACATGCGCACATGGTTTTTTTAAAAAACCATTTGAGGGTAACTTACATACATGGCCCTTTAACCCTAAATACCTGAATGTGTACTTCCTAAAAGGGATACAGTATCTTCTTACACAGCCACAGTATTACTTATCAACTTCAGTCAACTGAACATTCAACTACCCTTAAGAACAAATTAGGTAGGCATTTGGTTATACCTTAGTAAAAGTACAGAAATAGACATTTCCCGCTATAGTTCAAAATCTCCTTTAGTAAGTATATAATAACATTTGTGTTGCTCTTAAGTTGAATTTTACAATTAGGTTTTCTGTGTCTGCGCTTACTAATTTATTTGTCTCAGACTAAATGCTCCACGATGCAGTACATACCCTTTCTGTTTATTACCGGCCCTGCAGAACACAGTGAGTGCTTGGGTGATGTTTGCTCCAAGTGTCAGAAATAATTGGAGGAATTAGTAATACTTTTTAATTACTACTGGTAAGTTTTTCTGTAGTTAAAGAAAGTAATGAAAATTAACTTGTATAGATTTTGTTCTTTTTAAAAAAGTATTTTTACATGTATCAAGTGTGATTTGCTTCTTTCACTGGAAGCGGTTAGAACGAATTGTACATTCATACATGACTTTATCCGGTAAGATGTATAGTACAGGCCAACAAGCCTCTAGTCATAATTTTTCAATACCAAGAAAAAATGGTTTCCTTCTCCTCTATAATTTTTTAGTTTAGAAATTCTTCTAATATGCTGAGAAAATGGAAAAATAATCAATTGCTATATTACTTTACTGTTTAGAAAAGAATGCTACAGTTTTAATTAATGTGTTTTTTTAAATGAATCATAGAATTCCAGGAATGGTAGAGATAATGATAAAGGTCATGCTTTTAAAAACCACATATGCATGTACTTACACCTTGG